GATTGTATATACAATTGCGGGGTGAAGTGAATGAGCTTGTACGGAAACAAGTGGCCAAGTAGACAGTTTAGCCCCCTTTGAGTGAAGGATATTTAGGGGCGCGAAACGACCAGCGGACCTAACCTCAACTCATTCGCCGCACTATTTGGCAATGTGATAACTAACTAATTGGAAGCCCAGCTCGCGTCTACCTACCAATCCCCTACGGTCATCACCTAGACCTCTCCCACACTACGCGGCCCTCCCCATTGGCACAGTGCCCTATCCACCAGTGGGCTTGCATCTAGCCAAATCTTTCCACTGGACCCGCCGACAGCCTTTACCCACAGCGTCACAGGGAGGCAGTTAATACGGGTGGTATCCGGCTTGAAATGACAGGGTCCTCCCCCGCCTGCTCTGCCTTAAGGGTCGCGGGAGTTTTCTGGGCGGGCGATCTACGCGCAGCGCCAACCCCGAAGCAATAACGGACGATCATTACCCTACCGCTAAGCAATGGAAGGTCGGGCGACCCATATCCCCAATGCGATACTCCCAGCCACCTCTACTCTCCGCGGTGATCGTGGGACGCGGGGCCGGGGTGCAGTTTTAAGGCGATGGGTAAAGGATTGGGTAAGGTGGCAATGGACCCACCAGTATCCTCATTGGAGGCCCTTGGCATCCCACAGTGCACAGGGGTATTCCGCCGATGGTGAGAATGGATAAACAGCGCGTCTGGAAAACAGGATCCATGGAGCCACGAGGTAAGTCGGAGATTTAGATAGCGTCCACACCCCAGACAGAAAACTGGTCCGCATGACACCGGATGGACTGCCGCCGCATTTAGGCCGCATGTCGTCGCTACGTTCGAACGACTTCAGTACGTCAACGCGACCTTCCTACTCTTTATGGCTGCTGAGAGAAGCAGAAGACTGGGTGGACGCCCACCCAGTTTCTCACAGTGACTGGCGTCGGCGAGTCAATCCACTGTACTTGACCGGGGGCGATCCAATAGCAGCGTACTGCATGGTTGATCAGCTTCGAGCTCGGGCCAGACGGTAGGCACTATTCATGATGAGCTGGGGAGCTGAAGTGGTGGAAAGAGTAAAGTGGGGTTTAAAGTAAGAATGTGTCAGATGATCGGCTACACTGCCCAGAGGACGACCGGCCAAGCTCGGGTAATGCGGCCAGGTGACTACCGACCATGCAGGTAGCATCAACAATACGAGGCTAGGGGCACGGTTGAGCTGGTGCGATATTTTAGAGGCCCGACCCACCCCGTGCGGGGAAAAGTAGCGTGCGGCAGGCTATGGCTCGCTGGGAAACCCTGGGCGGACATGCTTGTGCTTTCAGGAGGGGCAGCATGGGGTGCCAAACAATGGAGGTCGTCGGCGTGTGGCCGCGCCGAGGCTGCAGCCCAAAGTCCGCCACCGACCCCTGTCCATCGGATACCGGGGGGGGAGTCAGCCCTTCCGCCTGGTACGGGTCGACAGCGACGTGCGGAGTGGCTGCTAGATCCGACAGCCACTCATATCCTAGGAGGCTGTGTTTTCATTCGCTCACGGTCGCCCTCCACTCGTTATCCTACCATATTAGGTAGGCCGGCTAATGCCGCTGGCCATGTGAACGTCGACCGCATCTCAGCACTACCCTACCACCAGCGTACTCCCTGGGTTCCCCTCACCCCCGCCGCCACACGCGCGTGCGCATGGACGTGTTTTTTACGGAACTACACCCCCGCCAATCCTGGCCGCCCCGCCCCTGGTTACCCTTTGGCTCGTCGCCAAACACCACAGGCTCTATTGGATGCGGGTCCATCTGATCCGACTTTGACGGTGTGATCCATTGGACCAGCTTCATCAGCCCATCGAGTGGTCTATTGCCCGGGCGACGGCCTGGCACGACTTTCCGCACCCCCACCAGGCTTCCATCGGCCCTGTTCCGCCCTCCGTACTTGAGGCCACCCTCTACGACCCACTCCCCTAATCGGCCGTGTGCCATTGGCAGGCCGCCGTGTCACATGTGCTGGCCGGCCCTCCGGCTTGACGCCTCCTTTGGGATACGGTATCAGCCTCGAATCTCGCCCGCACGGTCATAACCGTTCACTTTTGGGACGAAGCCAGTATGGGCAGGGTCTCTATGGGCCAATGAGCGGTGACCTTCGCCCCTCCCATTCGTTGCTTCTGAACCCTGCTGGCTTGTTTGGCCTTGGTCTCTCCCCTGGTCTCCGTGTAGGGACGATAAAGCCACCGTATTATACATTGGCTCCTAGACTGGATCTTGAAGCTCGCAGGGTCTTCGGGCGGCGATGCTGAACTGGCTTGTGGACCGCTAGCCAAAAACAATAGTTATCGATGAGAGAGGGAGGAGCTAGCCTCCGTCGTGCCACGTCTACTCTAATCTACAGCAGAACCATCACCCGCAACTTCCCCTCCGACCCTGTGCCATCCCATTACTTTTTTTTTACTTTGCGGCCACCGTCTCCATTCACCTCCCTCCATCTCCTCTCCTTTCCACCACCGCCACCTGCCACCTCGCATATGAGCCTCGCAGCTATTTAAACCGCCCACTCCGTCCCTTCAATATCCTTCATCCCTGCTCCCGTCTCTCCGCCTCCTGACCGGACGACCAGGATTTCATTACCTTGGTGCCACCTCCCCCCCTTTAACCACGCCCGCCTGCCACACCCTAGGTTAAACTCTGATTACCCCCCCCTATCCCTTACGTTCTGCACCTCCTCCGGTTTTTATCCTCCGATCAATTTTTACATACATACGTATATATATATACATATTTCATAGTGACTTGATCCGCGGTCCCTGCACGCCCATCGACCTGAGCTTCTAGGTCCTGAACTGATCTCTATCCCATCTGACTCGTCCCTCGCTCGGTTCTCAGCCCGCACCCCAGCTTGAACCATGAGCGACTACAAGGACGACAAGGTGGCTATCGCCCATGTTACGGCGAACCCGTTGTGGACGACGCGTCGGGAGGATGAGAGCTCCTTCAAGTACTTCCTGCGCCTGCTCGTCTCTCGTAAGTCCATCGAGAACATTATGGCCGAGGGTGACACCTCGAAGATGCGCCGCACACTCTCTGCCTGGGACCTCACCTTCCTAGGCGTCGGCTGCATCATTGGGGGCGGCATCTTTGTGCTCACTGGTGTGGCCGCCGCCAAGTACGCTGGTCCGGCCATTATCATCTCCTTCATCGTGGCCGCGGTTTGCGCCGCCCTGGCCGCCTTCTCCTATTCGGAACTGGCCTCTATGGTCCCCATCTCGGGCTCGGCCTACACGTATACCTACGCCACCATGGGTGAGTTTATGGCCTGGATCATCGGATGGGACCTCATCCTCGAATACCTGGTCGGGGCCGCCACCGTAGCTGTGTCTTGGTCGTCGTATCTCGTGGCCTTCTTCTCCGACGCCTTCCACGTGACCCTCGATCCGCGCACCACGTCATCTCCCGTCATCTGGACCGACAGCTCGTTCGTCACGACGGGAAACATCATCAATATCCCGGCCATCCTCATCGTCCTGATCGTGACCCTGGTCCTAGTTCTGGGGGTCCGCGAGTCGGCCATGGTCAATACCATCGCCGTGGTGATCAAGGTCCTCGTGGTACTCATCTTTGTGTTTGGCGCCTGCGGCCGTGTGAACCCTGATAACTATAAGCCCTTCATTCCCCCGGCTGAGGACGGCAAGTACGGCGGGCTCGGTATCATCAAGGGTGCCAAGACGGTCTTCTTCGCTTACATTGGCTTCGACGCCGTTACCACCGCCGCCCAGGAGGCCAAGAACCCCAAGCGCGACCTACCCATTGGTATCATCGCCTCCCTAGTGATCTGCACCACGCTCTACATTGCCACTGCCGCCGTTGTCGTGGGGCTCCGACCCTACTACGAGCTCGACGTGGCGCACCCCATCTCGTTTGCCCTCGAGCAGATGAGCAATACCCGGTGGCTGCGCATCATTGTCGATATCGGTGCTATCGCCGGCCTCCTCTCCGTCATGCTCATTTTAATGATGGGCCAGCCCCGTATTTTCCACACCATGGCCAAGGACGGGCTCCTCCCGCGCGTCTTTAGCCGTCTCCACCCGCGGTTCCGCACCCCGTTTGTGCCGACCATCCTCACTGGTGTCTGCTGTGCCGTCCTGGCCGGCTTCCTCCCTGTCGACATTCTGGGCGACATGACCAGCGTGGGCACTCTCTTAGCCTTCCTCTTGGTCCACATAGGCGTCATCATCCTCCGCTTCACTCGGCCCGAGATGCCCCGCGGGTTCCGAGTTCCGCTCGGCCCCTTCGTTTTCCCTGTCCTCGGCTCCCTCATCTCCATCGCCCTTATTGTCCTGTCTGACCCGTCCACCATCTACCGGCTCTTTATCTGGCTCGGTATCGGTGTCATAGTTTACGCCATCTATGGTCGTCGCCACTCTAAGGTCAACTTCCCTACCAACGACGACGTGGATGAGGTCCACGCCGCTGCCGCCGCCCAGACCCGCGCTGCGCAGGAGGGATCGGAGATGATCGAGAGCCATGCCGACGCCCCAGCCCCTACGCACGGTAACGGTTACACTGCCACTCGGACCTCCGTCGACCTTTAAAAATCGCTCCCTGATTCCAACTTTGTACACCAGCCATCTTTAGTCGGTCATCAAATTATTGATTCCAACATATGCGTACGATGTTGTGTTTTTTAATCTATCACATACCACCCCCTCCCTAAGCCTGTTATCCGTTACTGTGTATGCTTCACGCTGTTCAACCCATATTTTTATTTTTATACATACCACTATGTAATATTCTATAAAGCCTAACTTTCAGTATCCAATCAACACGATGGACAAACATCATCGAGTGCGAATACAATTGGCCTTAGCCAACGGAATGAATACAATATATCTCTACGAACTGACGTTAAACAACGTTCCGCATTGCCGTGTGGAAAAATAATTAGACTGAAAGGTAAGAGTGGGACTCGAACTCGGGCGGGATGATGTACGGGGAGGAAAAAAAAAAAGAACCGTCAGCTGCAGGATTTGAACCTGCGCGGGGGAACCCCATTGGATGGCTTGGCGGGCTGAGCCGCACGTTCAAGTCCAACGCCTTAACCACTCGGCCAAACTGACGATGTTTTCTAAGTAACAGGTATATTATACAACGTTATATTTTTGTGTGCAGATCCTCGCAAATGACGCTTCAGGCAAGCACTAGGATAGTTTGGCCCACCTATTGTTTCCCATAGTCAAGGCTGGACGCCCCATGGTACTCGTAGCACCTAGAATATGCGGACGTTTTTCTGTTTTTTAACAAAGTCATGCGGTTCGGACTTCTTACAGATGGATACCCTTTATGGGAAGTTTAGGTGCCACAATAATGTGTGATATTTTCGACGCCAAATGATTATTTAATGTAGCCTCCGTCACTTTGTACCGCTCGGCTACCTCATTCTAGTCAGCTATCATAGCAGACTCTAAAGGCATGTGGTTGGAGCCCAGTATATTCCGATTTCCAGGCGTCCGCAGCCCGCATCTAGGGTGGTGAACTTTTTACCTCTCAGTCGCTGTTTGATATTCCTGGACAGTTAGAAGTTGCAGGGGGCCAGGCCAGTAAGACAGTAGAAGCTGGCGGTGGAAGGGGCAAACCTAGATGCGTCACGTCAGAGGGTGAGGTAATCATAGGCGTCTGGGCGGGTGTGTCGGCGCAGGAGGACTGTGACCCCGTCCGCAGGAGGAACATCTCGAGGCTTGGCATTTCTTTTGGGTACGACAAGTAGGTTGGGTATTTTATCCGCAACAGCCTCCCGCCCTGCCCCTAATACCTGGAAGTGGCCACGTATAACCAGTCAGGGGCCAGGTTCAAATAATATGCACCTACATATAATCCGCCTAGCCCGCAGTGATGGTTTGCTATAGAAAATCACCCAACATCGGTCCGGGACACTCGCGCATACCTACACCATTCAGTATGGTTCACAAAAGAAGTGGATTCGGAAAAAGGACTCACACAGGGGGGGATTATCCGCAGCTCCTGCTCGACTCTTCCTATATACTCAACCCTATGCGAGCGTGGTACCTTCAGTACTATATTGGGTCCAATCGAACTGTCGAAATTTGGTTGTGGCGGCCTAAGTTTAAACCATCGGCGCCAGGACTTGTACGTTATCAGAGTACAGATTTTACCCCTGGCGTATATCACCCTTTCTATTATTTATTGGGAAAGCTTATTACCTTCCACATCCGGCCCTAATGCGCCTTTCTTGACACCGGGCCACTCACGGTAAGTTGTTGGTTGGTTAAGCCATTATTACCTAATGGGACGCAAGTCTTCACCCGTCCCATTGACACTTTAGCTACCGGCCCTTCCCCCTATCATAAATGATTGTTGTTTACCAGCTAATAATGGTGACCAAAACATTATAGGGGTCGTCAAGGTACGGCGTGGTGTCAAGAATAGGAATGTAACTCGAAGGAGCCAGAATTCGGAGGAACTGGTCGGGGGGTTATAAAATAGTAATCGACGTATATACGTATATATGACATTACGAAAGTTGTCGGGTATAAAACGATGGGCTTTCCCTTGTCGGCCATTGATAAGCACCGCATCCTTATAATAACAATGAAAGTCGTCGAGCAGGGACTAATAAATAAATAAATTAAAAAAAGACAAGGCGATGGGGCCCAGTTGGGAAATAAGGAAGAGGGGGAGGGGGGGAACTAACGTCTACTGTACATAAAAATGGTTACGGATCTTCTCAAGCGCGTCGAGCACGGGCTGAACTTGGTGACCCTCAACAGGAGGGTAGAAGAACACGGAACTCCGAATGGCCTCGGGGGTGTCACGGTCGGCGGTACTCTCGGGGGTGGTGGTATCCGCAGACCCGGCTGTCAGCTTGTCCCACTGCTGGTCCGCCTTCCACTGCGGCCGATAGAGCAGGTCGGTCCAGATATTGAGCAAGGGTCGAGTGTCGCGGGTCACTTCCTCAACCTCCTCCTGCTGGCGGAGCATAAGGCCCAAAACTTTGAAAAAGGCCCGGCTGAGCTCCGTAAAATATTCCACGAGCATGGGGCCTGGGAACCCAGGTATGCCGTTGGCGCCCCCGCCACTCCGGGTGAGTAGCTTGGCTAGCTTGTTGAGCGTATCGCGGTACATGGTGATCTCGAGGTTAAGCGGGTCGTGCTCAGCCGAGGTGAGGATCAGATTAAGCTGCTTCTTAAGTCGCGGTGCCACCACAGATGTGGCCTGATGCTGCAGAATCTGGGCTAGCTCGTAACCCTGGAACTCTGGGATCAGGTGTGTCACGTGCACCAGGTACTCATCGTACCGGCGCGTCTGGACTAGCGAGTTGAGGTAGAGACGCATGGCCCCAGCCGACACGGTATACGGACAGGGTAGCATGAGCTGGACGATGGCGTCAGCCACCTGAGCCTGCTCCCCTCCACGCAGCACTGTCTTTTGGACCTGTACCTCCAGTTGGATCATACCCAGAACCGCCCGCAGGCGGTCACGTAGGAGGCGGTACAGCTGCTGACGCACACTTGGCAGTTCGCGCACCGCCGCTTCCTCGCGGGCACTATGGAAGCCACCCGTCCCGCCGATGAGAGAGAAGCTGGCCTTGCGGTGGCGGGCGTCCCGGCCGGGAGGGTCGACGGCAGTCCGTGGGGCCTCCGTGTCGTACACGGTCGGGTAGAGTAGGAGGTGCACCACTCCGGTTAGGTCAATGAGGACGGCCTGGTCCGCCGTCTTACCGTACACGGCGACCACGCGCATCCCCAGCTCCAGGGCGGCCAGGCAGTCATGAGGTAGAATGAGTTTAAGCATTCCCCGGAGCAGATTGACCGGGTAGGCATGTGGGGATGCGGTGAAGGCTTGCTCGACGCGGGACCGGTCGGCCACTAGGGTTTGCCAGTCTCCGGCCAGGACGAGGGCCTCGAACTCTTGTACTTCCGAGTTGGCCGAGAGGCGCGTCAGAACCATTTGAACCTGGGACAACTTGGCCGGGTGATGTCGCGGGCGGGCGTTGGGGGGCAGGCCGTACGAGAACGTGGTCAGGTCCTTCCTGAAGGCCCGGATACCCTGGTCCACATCGGACTTGAGCGGGAGACGGTGCCGGCCCGTCAGGGTGGAACTGGGTGCAGGCGGGAGGGGCGGGATGGTCCAACCGTCCCACGTAACGGCATCTTTGGGGACTAGCAGTCGCGACAGTGCCTCGATATGGGCAGCCAACTGTGGATCCTTGTCGGCCCCGCGGGCCAGGGCGCTGAAGCTGGGGACGGCGTCGGCAAAGTTGCGCTGATAGGCTAGCTGTTCAATCTCATACTCGGTTGGGTGGGCGCCAGCCGTAAATCGGTGAATAGCCACTGCCTCCAGGGCCCCCTCGGTTAGCTGGAAGGAGGTCAGTTCGCCCTTGGAGGAGCATGCGAAGTAGGTGTTATCGAAGGTGGCCGGGCAGCTGATACCAGCCAGGAATCCGGTAATGCCCTGGGCTGAATCGGCGATCAGGTTTGCCGAAACAGCCGTTGGTGCCGCCGGCGTCTCCTTGCTGGGGCGGCGCTGGTAGGTCCCCGCGTGGCTACCTGGGCGCAAGGTCCACAGCCGCCAGTGTCGATCGGCAGACCCTGTCGAGAGCATATCGCAGTGGGTGTTGGACCAGCAGAGCTGGGTTGGGATAGGAGTGGGGAGTGAAAGCACGGTAGAGGGCGTAGTGAGTAAGGGACCGAGAGGAGGGATAGCGGATGGGTATGGGTATGAAATCGGATGCGGACAGGAACGGGGAGGAAAGGAAGGAGTAGCCGCAGAGGATCGAGAGGTGCTGGCGTATCGAGCGCGCAGCTTCGGCGGTATAAAGTGACTTACCGAGGTGATAGACCGTTGGTGCTGCTGAATACTGAATACGGGCCCAGAAAGGTAGCGGAGATCCCAGATGTGAGCGTTATTGTCGTCACCGGCGCTGGCCAGCCAGTACGGGATGAAAGGACTCCACTGGACGTCGTTAATGGGGCCGCGATGGGCGCCGCGCACCTTCCACACCACGGGCTTGCCGCGCTTGCGAATGTCGGCCACACTCAGCGCCCGGTCGACGCAGCCCACTGCCAGGAGCTGTGAGAACGGGTATGGGTGCCAGTGTGCGGCGGTGATCTGAGCGGGGGCCACGCGGTCGTCACGCACCGGTTTGGACGAGTCGTTCACGTCCCAAATGTGGACAACGGGCCCCACCGCCGCCAGGAAGCGGTGGGAGGACCGAGTGGCCGCGTCGGGGCCTGAAGTCCGCCCGGTCACAGGTTCAAAGTCGGTACGCAGGACCCGCCGCGAGCTCAGGTACTTGCCCGGGACGGGTACCTCAGGCGCCCGGCTCAATTTGTTGCGGTAGGTGGCTACCAGCTTGAGGCCGCTGCCGGCTTCTGGGTAGGCGTCAGCTTGGTGACTGAGGAGGGCCTCCGTGTCCACAGTATAGAGGAGGTTGACACCACGGTCATTCCCCGTGACGATGTGTCGGTCAGAGAAGGCGACGCTGTGGGTTGGGTACCGCGAGGAGGCCTGGGCCTTAAGCTCCATGCTCGGCACGGTGCCGTCATCGCTCTCCAACGTAGCGGCCTGCCCCTTGACGACAAAGAGATTGGGGCTGGGTCCGCCGGAACCTACGGCCAGCAGTGCGGATGTCTACGTGGAGGTAGAGGGAGTGGGAGTGAGTATCAGGAAATAGCATGAGACCATGGGCAAAGGAGCTAGACCACACACAGTGCTTGCGTGTAAAAGTAAACCCGGACCTCCCCGAGTGTCCTGCGTCGGCCTTACCTGTGAAGCCGCTATGCAAGTGGTGAATTGTGCCTTGTCGGGAAGTACAAGCCGGGCAGTCTTGAGCTCACTGTCACAAACGCCAGTAAAAACAAGGTTTTACGGTCGAGCAGGAAGCAAGCGGATTAAGTTAGAGTTGTTTGACGGCGGCCACGGAAAGCGGCAGCTAGGCCGGCCACCCCAGACCCCGTCCGCGTGGGCCAAAAAGGCGCAAACCAAAGTAAACGCCTCAACCACTTGACACCCTCCTCGTGCCTTGGGAATACCCCTAGCAGACTCGCTGGGCCAGCGTATGATGCTTACCTTTGGCTGGCGTTATCGCCGGCGAGGAATG